CTTTTTTTATCCACTTAATAATAAGAAAGCAAGTTTTACAATTACGTCTAGCGTAACAATAATGTCGATAGAGTTATATGCAATATACGAGGCGTTGTATGTGGAGACGTTAATTTGTCAAAATATGGTAATCTTGACTGATAGCAAAAGAGCCATTCAACATATAGCTTGGTGTACTTATGGCAACCGGTATGTTTCACTACTTTACAAAATTTTACAACAAATAATGTTATGACTAGTGGGAGATGCTTAAGGGTGCAAAAGGTCACATATTAGCTTGTTAGGGAATGAGGAAGCGGACCGGTTAGCCAATCGCGGCTGCTTCAGAGGGGTCTGAGGTTGACATTGTGCCTGACTTCTCTGAAGAGGTTTTTCAAAACTATGAGTAAATTCCATTCTCGATGGAAGGAATATTTCGATATAAGGTCCCAGGAAAAAGGAATCTGGTACAAGACCATGCAGAGTGAACTTCCTCGACTCCCTTGGTTTGACCATGTTAATACCTACTTTGACGGCCTCTATGGTCGAGTGGCTTGCACACCGGTTTTCATGGTGTCGCCATCTCAGAGTTCCCGGGTTCGATTCCCGGAAGGGTCAATGTAGAAGCTAACTTTTCTATACTGTCTCGGGTCTGGGTCTTTGTTGTGCCGATCGTTATTTCCGATTTCCATAACACAAGTACTTTAGCTACTTACTTTGGAATCAGAGCGACGTATGTGATATTGTCTAATACTTCTGTATTATTTATTACTTATTGATAAGGCAGATTCCTCTTAGAAAAACTATTAATGCAATAGTTAGCTCTTTGTAAATGAACGTTTGTTCACATTTTGTTAATTCACAATATTTCAAATATTTTATTTTTCATTGTTTCACGTTTAAGGAAACTTCACGGATTCATTATTATTATTATTATTATAGCCCCAGCAGTGGGTGTTAATGGGCTGAAATGATGATTATAGCTAATTATATATAAAGATAAGTATTGGAATGACACCACAGTGTCACCGCTGTGGCGTAGCGTCGATTTCTGCCGACAACCTTACATTTGCTGCCCCCTCTATTTTCACGATTACAAAAGAAATTCCTTCGGGCAGGCTTGACTCGATTGTGTTTATAAGTTCGCCTGCCGTCGCCACCTTTGTGTTGCTCAGTATATCGTTTTCTCAATTAGTGCAATTTATTTTCTAATTTTAAGTAAAAAAAACATAAATTGTGATTAGTTAGGGCTCTGCTGTACTCGCCACCGCACCGCTACCATCGCTGTGCCGCCCGGGGCCATGGTCCTTCTGCACCCCCACGCTACTCCACGGCACTGAGTATTTTATTATTAAATTTTATTAGGGGAGCTTACAGCTGCTGTTACAACATGGATTAGAATATGATTAACCAGATTATTAAAAGCTTCCACAAAATGAAAATAACTACTACTGTAACATGATATCCCCGCTCATCTATGTAACGTACAAGACATTCCAAACACAGGCGATGGGGTTGCAGGATCTGCAACAGGACGAAATGAAGTGATAAGAAATAAATACATCTACACAAAATATCGATAAAAGTGTGCTACTACATTTCACAAAGGTTTCTTTAATTTCAGATCCTCCATGTGAAGTTAAAGCAACAGGATCAATATTTTGATGAGGAATAAGAGAAAACCAATCATCTCAAAATGGTACCTAATGCACAAAATGTATCATATATTCAGAAAGTCCAAGCTGAGGATGTGCAGTAATATTTATTTACTTATCGCAGTTTTTACAGTTTTTTTTTATAATAGGTACCAAGTGACGGGACGAACAAATAGTGCACCTGGTGGTAAGCGACACGGTTGGCGATAGAAATAGCTAATATGGCAGAGTCCCTGGAGGAACTCTTTCACAAGGAGCTCTACTGCTACAAAAATAAACAGTACATAAAGTGAATGACTCAACCTACCAAACACATTTTCCTACTTACAGTTGTTACAAATCTTTTACTAATGCTGTAAATAATACAATCCAAATAACGTATTCTACATTAATTTATTAAATTGCAATTTGCAGCAAAGACTAAATTACTTGTTACTGACAAAAAAATAATGTTGATAAACATAACTCTGAAGCAGAACTTTTTGTAAATCTATACAGATTTATATGGAATGGAATTAGATGTAAGAACACTTATTATATTATAATAGGCAAACATACTTTTTTTACACAATTATGTTATTAACAAATATTTAGATTAGGGGGTTTCTATTTACTTTCAAACATTATCTTATAATTACTGTGATTATCAAACATGTATCTTAAATGTACAAAATCTGAATTAAGCAGATTTAAGATCACCATTGGTTGAATCACAATATATCTATATTTACAATGTATCGGTATCCTATTTACCAAAAAACTCCTAAAGTTTCAATTCCTTTCAATGAAGAATGTTACTTCTTTGGTAGGTCACCTATGAACTTTTAACACATTGAAAAAGCCAATGTCGTAAGTAGAATAGTGTTCAAGTAGAACTCCAATACTTTGAATAACTACAATCAACAGAGACACACGTAACTATACATTCATAACAAATTTTTATTGAAATCATATAACATCTTCCAAATAAACAATTATTGAATAACACAATTAACTAAAAATGAAACATTCTTCATTGAGCTGTATCTCCGCCAAGCATGTAATCAAAGCAGAGCAAAATTTCATTCCATCTTACTCTATACCAAAATTACGAAGACGAAATTGTCTGCAAGACAGAAAAATAGGCTTAAGTAGTTCATGAACAAGGAATTGTTAGAATGTATTCCTGACTCTGACCAAAAGGAATTAGTTCTTTTTGCACAATCTTATTAATTCACCTGTCTTTTAAACCAGTAGGAATTGTCTGAATTGCAGAGCCACAGATGCGAGGCAGTCTTAATAGTTCACTTAATGTCACAAATGATTTAGTTCTTTCAGTTCACCAACATGAAGTGAGACAGCACGAATGAAACGATTAGTGGACAACCATCACTTTTAGTACAAGTTCCAGTGAGATGCACGACTAAACCTTGTCAGCCATTTAACTCAAATGTAAACCTATAAATATATATAATAAACTTTTCATATTTACTTTTATTTTCTTTGTCAAATTTAACACACACCATGTATAGGTATACCTATACATATTAATGAACATATACATAACAAACTGAGATACAAATAATATATATGTATTTTGAAATAAAATTATAACATAAAATTTTACAAAGAAAATATTGTAAATATGAAAGATCTTTATTTGAAAAACATAAAAATATAGCAAAAAGGTTATACAACAATACATTTCGTTCCATGTCCTTCAAAGACTCGCTAAACTAAGGAACTAAAAGAACTAAAAGACCGAATTGGTTCATTTGTACATATGAACTACATGAGATTGTTCCCGTTGTGACCGAGCAGGCACAAATCTACAGAAAAATGCAAATATATCCTATAGCATATTTTTTCATACACTCCAGTAACATTAAAGGATAAAGATAAACATTATGTTAGGTTTCCTTCAGTACAAGCTTATTTGGGTATAGGAGGTTGAGGAGGCCCGTTATTGTTATCACACAGGCTGACATAGCACCCCCTAACTACTCTTGCTCGCCGTTGCCCTTTCAGCATATTGGCTGCCTGTTCAATGCGCATCACCAACCTGTGTTGGTTCTCTAGTCTTTCCAAACAGTTTTTGCAGATCGTTTTGGGCAGCGGATCTGATCGAGATACCTGAAACGAAGGCCATCAGAGCAACATGTTAACCCAATAATGCCTACGCATTTTGTATTTCACAATAAAACATTCCAAAATTAGTAACCAAAGAAACATAGTTTAAACAATTCATTTACGTTTATCGAAAGATATCTGTTGATTTTCTCCGATATACACAATCGTATCCCTTCTTCTCCATAAATATGAAGTACGACCTTATGCATTTCTGAGCACAAACGACAAATGAATCCAGTTAGAACTCCTCTATCCAGACTCCCCATGATGATATTTCTTTTTAGTATTTTCAGCACAAACAAAATGGACAAATTTGTCAACAAAATTACAAATTTTCACGGATCCCAAAGATTTTTGTTTCCGTCTTCGCTTTTTGTTATTGTTTTTCGACTTTTTCGAACATTTGGCAATGATTTAATGTCATTCAGCCCAACAAAAACGAAAAGGGTTTCATAACTTGTTTCGTGTTAGCAGACTGCCGAATCGTGAATATAATGATGATGCTGATGTTAGGGCCGACAAAACATTCAACATTTTAATTATAAAATAAATGTTTAAAGTAAGTTTTAAAATAAAAAGGTTGCTTGTCATGTTGGATTTATCATCATAACTCATACTTATGCATTTCGTTGGCTAACACGCACGATTAACACGACACGTTGCGTATTACGAAATTCGCCGTGGCTCGTGGATGCTGGAAACCTGGAAACCTTTTTTGTAGCAAGAAAGATCATTGCTCTAAAAAATAGGACACAAACACAAAGAGATACTACGTGGATAGGAACCGTTTCGATCTGTGAAAGACGCGAAACAACAAGGTTTGAACAAGTTAATTGAACTGGGAATGTAACAGCGGTTTTCCTTTTTTTCAATAAACTTTATTTTTTTATATTTATAGTTATTTTCCAAGTCATATTTTACATACCTACATAAATGTATATGAAAACTCAAATACAACAGCATAATTGAATCGAGTAACGAGCTCGCAATGTTTATTCATGCAGCTCACTCCAACTCGTACTAAAAGCAGTAAAAGATGGCTATCTGTCCCGTTCTCACTCAACTACACGCAGGTGAAACTGTTTCAAATGAAATTTTAAGATCGTGCGAAAGGAATATTATATATTAGGCTCAATTTACTTAGCCGCGGAACGGAATGGAACGGAAGCGTCAATTTCGTTTCAACTTCCATTCCACTTCGCCGCAATGTAAATTGAGCCATATAGTTCCTTTCGGCCAATGCGGTCATTGATCTTTATTATATATATTGGTTTGAACTAGTTGGGACGGTAACTAAAGACTTGTTTTTGAAAGTGTTTCATGAAAACAAAAACGAGTTTTTATAAAACGCTCATAACACCAAGCTAAATATTTCTCAGACATATCTGATATTTAAAGTAGTAGTTATAAATCTAGCAATGATGGTATTTTGGGAAACTGAAACAACTTTCAAATTTATTTTATAGCAAAAATCTTTAGATTATTACATCCGCATATTAAGCTAGTGTTAAAACTTATTCAGTTCCTCTAGTAGTGACCTACATTTATTTCTCAATATCTTAACAGCTTCTACAAATATTACATTAGGCGGCATGGCCCCAACAGATTCCACATTAACTGAAACAAGAAACATTTAAATTGAAACATAACCAAAAAGAGCACTCCATAGCGTACTGTGCGTAATGTTTTCAGGGAGTGATCAAAACCACCATAGCACACACAAAACCAAATAATGTTGTAACTCAAAATTGTGTAATTGGGAAAATACGATTTGAAAAAAAAAATACTGAACAAAACCAATATACATAATATCCTTTATAAATGGATAATTAAGTATTATGTATAAATAAAATTAATCACAGTACATTCGTAATAAAATCAATTCAGAATTTTTCTTAAATTTTCAAATTGTGTTTTCTCAATTCCACAATGTTCAGTTTACAGTATTTGGTTTCATGTGTGATAAGTAGCCAAACTATTTTACAAATATATTCAGAATATGATAAATTGTATTGTGAATAGAAACGAAGTTTTCCATTTAAGGTTATTAAGTTTAAAATAATCACGTGACATTAGGCTGGGATACGATTTGTGGGCTTTGAAGCCAGAGCACCTTTAAATCATTTTCCTGATGATTTGAGTGCTTTTAAGATATTTTGCTATTCCAGAAAACCTCTTCTCTAGTTCTGTATGTGAGGGCTAGTAATAACTTGCCCTCACATACAGAATTAAAAAAGCCAAACTAAAATCTATTACAAGCTTATGTTCATTGTATTTAGGTACTTACAAATAAAATGATCTCTAACTCTACTCAATACAACTGAATCTTTAATTTCATCATATCTAAAGACATTCCTGCTGCAAGTGTCGTATCGCGCCTCTTTAACATATGCCTTGCCATCAGAGTTAATTCCTATGACACCTGGAGAAAAGCAGGTCTGCAGCAAGACAGCTTCACTATCACGAACTTCACGAGTTAGTGTTATTTCTGGAAGTAATCTGTATGATGCTGTGGCTGTAATGAAAAATATCAAATTTAGTTTCATCAGTACCTAAGCAAATTACGAGTACACTTGAAATTGCCCAATTTATTTACTTGTACTTTACAATGTTAAGCAGATTCCCTTGAGAAGAATGGGTATACAACTCTAGGGTTTGCTTATTTTGTTTAAATACATACATATTTGCTCACTTTTATCAAAATTTATTGTTATGTAGGTGTTAAAAATTCAATTGCTTTCTTTAACAACATCAAAAAGCAATAACAATTTCAACTGTTATAAACCATTATAAACCATTGCAGATACTAACCAACAGGAGAGAATTTAGCATGGTCACTTCCAATACCCTTGACAGCAACTAGTTGCAAATCTAGGTCATGACCTGGTCTCATTTTAGATATTAAGATATCAGGGTGCACAGGACCTATGTCTGCCTCCTTATGTACTGAAGCTTGGTTACCAATTGGATGCCATTTTATTTGTGAAGAGTAAACTGTTAAATTAAAAGTAGTTTTCATTATAATTAAGTATAACACATTTTTACACATCAAAAAACTGTTATATTTTACAGATTATAAGACAAGCATATAATCATAATCTTTGAATGATTATTAGATGTCAATGCTTAGAAAGTGCCTATCAAAGCTATCAAGTCATATATTTATGGAGGATATACCATTCCATTGCTCTCTTTATTAAAGAGGAAGTAAGCGCTATGTGCATGCAGTAGTTGCTTACCACAGTGATTTTCATACAGATCTTCAGCTCTATAAGAATCTTTGGGCTGTGACTTGTTCGTAGTGCATTTCACTTTAAGTGTATATTCCAGTGTGTCAAAATCAGTTCCTTCTGTAGTTCCTTTAATAATACAACATAATTAATCATGCACACTTGACTTAGTTTACTGTAAATGTTTAAAAGTTGTGTTGTATTCAGTGTTGGGCGTTAATCAATTGCAATTGATTTCAATTTCATCATTCATTCATTTCATTGATTTCGATTTTCAATTAAATTTGCAATTAAAATCAATTCCGGCCGGGGGCCGGGGAACCGGGCCCCCCAAGCGGGGTTCCCAACCGGGGCCCCCAATCGGGCCCCCAACCGGCCCCCTAACCTGCCCCCAGCAGGCCCCCACAACCAACGCCCTAACTCACCCCCATATGCCCATAAATTTATCATAATTGTCAGTTTTAATTGTTAATTGTTAATCAAAAACATTGAAAAGATTGAAAATTGATTAATTGTTAATTGTAGATATTTGCAATTAACGATTGATCAATTGTTAGTTGCGAGAACCGTAATTAACAATTAACAATTAACAATTGTGGTTCTCGCAACTAACAATTGATCAATCGTTAATTGCTGTTTCGCAATTGACAATTAATCAATTGTCAATCTTTAATTTCCAGAACAATTAAATTTTGCCCAACACTGGTTGTATTCAGTCATCAACTGATACATTTCTTTTTTAATAATACTGTACTAACAACAATTTGAAATAGAGTAAACTCTTATCATCGATACACATCGTTTATAAACTTGAACTATATTATTGTTCCTTCCTTACACAGCACTAACATTTCAGCAGTCATCATCATCATTATTATTTCAGCCGAAAGACGTCAACTGCTGGACATAAGCCTCCCTTAATGATCATCACAACTGGGCTTGTGCTGCTTGCTTGTTTGCTTCAGCAGTATTTCAATTTTATTAAAACATACCTAGTTCTCATCCAAAAGATAATCTCAATATTTCAAATAGGATCATCCCCTTCAAATAAAAAAATAACAGTTAATAACATCAACAGACTCACAGTGAAGAGTAGAACAATGTGAGTGTTCCAAACATTTAATTTTTATTGAGAAATAATTATATAATAAAAAACAAAACTTACCTTCAGGACGATATTCAAACAGCCTAGGATCTGCTTTCAACGGGATCAGACCTAACCTATGTGCCAACACTTCGTCCTGTATTATAGAAGTATTACTCTTTATCATGACCTTTTCTATAGCCATACTGGGCACTTCACTTAGCATGAGTCTGCGGAAGGCATTTGCAAACCCAGGGTGTATGCCTATTAAGTCAAACTCCATTTCGAAGTTGTCCATGCGTACTATGACAATACTAAATTTCTTTTTAAATTTGTTAAAATCCCATTTATCATCTGCGAAACCATAATCGTCAGGTGCATTCTGGAAATTAAGTTTTATAGGTTACTATCACGTGAACATTAATGTTATTTAACTGCCTCTGTGGCCGAACAGTTACCATGCCGGACTGCCACGTAGAGGTCCCAGGTTCGATTCCCGGGCCGGGAGAAATATTTGTATGGCCTACATTTATTTCTCTCGTGAGTTTGGGTGTAATTTGTGGTTGTCTATGTGTGTGTCCATGGCACCCGTAACACAGGGTTTCCCTAGTGCGGGGCTATGTTGAGTGTGTGCGTTATTATTATTATTATTTAAATCAAATAAATTATTTCTAAGGAATTATTTACTCTTAACAAATAGTGGGGTTTCAGGAAATGGTGAAATTTTTAATATGGTCCGAAGACAAGAGTAGATTCAAATTTTAAAAATCAGACGGTGATTACAACCTCAAAGCAATACAATTTAATAATGATTACTTTACCTTAATTCGAAATTCTTCGAGTATAACTCTAGGCTTCCCTTCTTTTTTATTCATTTTTTTGTATTACTTATTGTAACATATGGTATTTAATAGAATATAAAGTTGATTACATTATAAACACAAAACATACATACATAAGATTATAAAGATTAGGGAAGGACACGGAAAAAGTATCGATACTTTTTGGAATCGAGTACTTGTCCTTCCGATACCGATACTTTTGTACTCGATACTTTTTAATAGTATTTTTTGACAAGTATCGTATGGTTTCGAATAATTCCTGCCTTTATGCCGGTTGCATGAGTCCTTCACTTGCGTTTTTCGCTTCCTTGTGTTGGCTGGGTCGCGGCGTAGAAATCTGCCTTCCGCGCAAAGGCGTTCACGAGTTTTCCAAGACTTAAAATTCAAATAAATTGGTGTTTTTGTATATTTGTGTATGTTTGGTATTTATTTTAGGTAAATCTGTCAATACCATAAAATTGTTAAAGAAGGTGAAAAAAATAATGGCGTGTTTCTACACCTGGTAAACATAGGAAAGGTCGACCAAAGAAAGATCTCGATGATTTTGACCTCTGCCCAATTAGACAAAAGGTTCATTTCTTCTACACGGTAAAAAAACAGGCATGTATTATATTTTATATTAATGCCACTTTCTTCATTAAAAAAACAGTATTATGTAATAAATAGAAACTTTATATTTTTTTCTCAGGTGCCTACACTACGAAATTTATTACCTGTAGTTAAAGAAGATTTGGGATTTAATGGAAGCCGTGAACATCTAAGAAAGATATTACATTCTCTGAGTTTCTCTTACAAAAAATGTAAAACAGACAGATCTGTCTGTTAACAACATAATAGAGTAACAGCAAAGAGGGAACAATATTTAAAAATTATAATGCATAATAGAAATTTGCCTCAAGAACTCCAAAAACAATTTTTTTGGATGAAAGCTACGTACACTCATCTTACAAACTTAAAAATGTTGACAATCAATTGAAGTTAGTGGAGTGCGACACAATATATCTAAAAGCAAAACATATATTATTGTGCATGCTGGGAGTGAAAAGGGGTTTGTTCCAAATGCACTATTAATTTTCAGTGCCACAAACAAGAGTGGAGATTACCATTCTGAAATGAATAGAGCAAATTTCACTAAGTGGGTTACCGAGAAATTAGTTCCCAATTTGACAGAGCCTTCCATTATTGTTATGGACAATGATCCGTAAACCTGAATTGTTAATGCTTGTAAAACTCCACAAACCAGAGGCCCTTTATGAAATTGACCAAATATTGGGGGATCATGGTCACAATGTGGTACGGCTGCCTCCATATCATTGTGACCTCAATCCTATTGAATTGATATGGGGAATTGCAAAACATAAAATTGCCTCTGTCAATGTAGGGTCCATTGACATAAAGGTAGGGATCTAGTTCATAATTCGTTTTTCTTAATGTTATTAATTGAACTCATGATCAATAATATTTTTATTCCGACAGATGGCAGCTGAACAAGTATTCCAAGCGATTACTGCCGAAGATCGGAAAAATTCATGCCAACATGTTATTAAAATTGAAAAAGAGTATTATGAAAGGGGTATGACTATGTATGACGACATTGAAAAATTGGTTATTAACGTCAGAGATGAGAGCAGTAGCGAGACCACTTCAGATTCATGTGATTCAGACGAGTTTGTTGTTGCCGGAACGTCTAGCCAAGATACAATAGAGTTTTCTGGGGTGGATTATCTCGATGAAAGTGTTTTGGAATCTGATTGATTTAAAATTTAAAAAAAAAACCGCGATATTATCCGAAAATTAGTATTTATTAAAAAAAATTAAATTGTTATTTTGTTTTATTAGAATAACTTGTACAAACAATAAATGGTTCATTTTCCCTTTTATCCTATTTATTTTATTATAATTATTAAACCCGCTCGAATCTCTCTTAGTAAGAAGGAAAAAGGTCATTTAAATTATAAAAACAAATAATTCTGTGAGGGATCATATTATGTTGCTATATAATATTATGTTGTTACTGTGGATGGATCGAGTCTGATGGTAATTGAAAATTAACTCTAAGGGCGCGTTTATTTGACGCGAATATGTCGCCGCCGCGCGGCCGTGACGCGGTGACGGAGTTTACGTGTTTAGAGACCGAACTGTTATAACAAAATACGCTTTATTTATTTAGAATTTACTTTTTTTTTAACTTACTAATTTATTTAATTATTACTTATACAAATAATGCAAAGAAGAAAAAAAAGAGGTGAGATGATTTTGTGTTCATCCCATTTTGGAAATAAGAGAAGAGTTTGGAGAATTTCATACGAGTCTGGCTTAGCTTTCGTCCACTTGGCGACCGCATGGACAACGTGCGGTTGTATTATTCCGAGAAATTTAAATGTTGTTGCCTACCAAGAAAGTTTTCGAGTCGTGTGTCTGGGCGCTAAAAGCCTTTAACAATAAATAAAAATAACAAGTATCTAAACAATTTTCGTCGTAGTATATCGGGTTACCACATATTTGATCTAGGCGCCCTCATTAAATCCATACTCTTTTTTGCCAAGCTGTTTTCCAGTCAGTCGGAAAAGTGCTGGTCTCGATGCTTTTATTAACCATTACCGTTAATATTTCAAGCGTTGTCGGAAGAGTCAATAGTAACATGTCAATGGTCATTTGGTCAATAAATTTTGCTTTGGTTTTTATTTGGGCAGACGTGTACCTTACCATCAGGCGCACGACTTGTTCGTAACTTGATATTATAAAAAAGTATCGATACTTTTGTTTCGATACTTTTTATGCGATACTACTCATGAGTACAGTATCGATATTTTTGATTCGATACGTGTCCTTAACTAAGCTATAAAACTCAAAACCACAGATAAAACGAATATTTTTTTACTAGCTGATGGTATAGAAAGATGTTATACATATAAAATTTTTTGTCCTTCAAGATAAAACACAGACAAACATTAAACAAGACGACTAAATAAAACTTCAAAAGCTATTTCTCAACGAAGAACATAATATGAGTCTTTGAATATTTGGCCAATATTCTTAAATTTTTTAATTAGCAATTTTTCGGAAAATTACCTAACAGTACTATAGCCACTGTTGATGAGGCAGTATGGTCCTTGTTAACCCACGCCTTCTCTTTTTGGACGAACATAAAGAAAACAAAGTGTTTGTCTCTGACTTGAAAAAAAAGCTTGTATAGAAAAAAGCCGAATGTAAAATTCGTGAATTTCAATTAAAAACTGATGTAATTGTAAAAGCTAAAAGGCATGAGGATCGTTAGTTAATAAAAGATTAATAAATATAGAAAATGTTTTACCACGTAAGTACTAAATAGACCTGTTTTCACAAAAAACTGTACGCACACTATGTAGCTCATTTATAAACATTGTTTTTTTTTTTAGATTTCATTGGAACATGAGATTCTATTACATCCACGATACTTCGGTCCACAATTACTAGATACGGTGAAGCAGAAATTATATACAGAAGTCGAAGGAACATGCACTGGAAAGTAAGTTTGATGTTGGTTAGGTTTTACATACTGCACATTTATCAGTTGAGAATGTTTAAATTTCATGGTTTCAGGTACGGTTTTGTGATCGCAGTAACGACAATAGATAATATAGGAGCTGGTTTAATTCAACCAGGCCAAGGTTTCGTTGTGTACCCTGTCAAATACAAGGCGATTGTGTTTCGACCATTCAAAGGGGAGGTTCTTGAGGCGATAGTTACGCAAGTAAATAAGGTATGTTTGAATCTGTATGCTTCTTTTATTATTTTTTTCTATCAGCCACCATGCTCAGGAGGCTGTTGATGCTGCTGTGTACGTGCATAATTAGGGATGCTACTAACTTGTGCATGACGGCATAAAAGGTATCTGTCAGAATGGCTGCTTGCCTGGAGCATTTGGTACTGGGTGTATGTTCAAGAATTGCCACATATTTGCTATTCCTAAATAATCGCTACCTATGATATATTCTGAGAAATTTGAAAAAAGTTGACCAGCCATTGATTTCAGGATGGTTGGTCGCCACTTTATTCTGTATGAAGGGCACACATTTTCTACAAGTACATATTTATAGAAGTATTCATGAATTTAAGTTTCAGCTTCATATCTACATCGGTTAAAGATTTAAAATTTTATGATGAAGTGCCTGATGAAATTATAAAAGCAACAGTTTTTTGTACTATTTTGCATTCCTATCAGGGCACATTTTTAGTACCATATAGTTTTTAGTGCTACGTCCCTATTAGGCCAACATTTTGGTCCTTTACAGGTCCCACAGTCAGCCGAGAAGCCTGTGAATGACTTAAAATGATGGTTTGTTTGTATAGTTCCAATCCATTTTGAACAAAAAGTAAACAAACCTCTTTGGTTAAAATTCTAATGCAATCACTCAATAAATTGAATAAGTAACACTTTCATGTATATTTCGAAAATTTAAACTTGGTATATCATCACTTTTTCCAACAATATTCATTTGAATAGCATCGTAAAATCGTATTTGAAAAATGGTAGTCCAAAAGTGAGGTTATTATTCATCTATACTTCTATGACTTGCCTATGGTTGCATAGTGCTGTTTGAAAAAAAACATTCGGTTCAATCAAAAAGTTTAGTAATCAATAAATTATAAAATCGAACATTTCAATCGCAATTGAATGAGTATCTAAGTGTAAGGATTTGAAGGAGGATTTAAATTGAAATTTTAGATATAAGGAACACCACTAGTATGACTAAATTGAACAAATCGATTCATTCAATCATTTAATTAATTCATTTGTAGTTGGCGTTACAACTGGCCATCACTAAATCGTCTATGGTCTGGTCAGTGACTTGTTTGTTTACTTTTTGTTCAAAATGGATTGAAATGAAGTATAAAAACAAATATACACAATTTAGATCTGAAAAAATAGATACATAGTCCATGCGAACAAAGTTGCGGGTGAAAGCTATTTACTACACTATAACTATAAGCAGCAGTTTCTTTCACGTAATTGATTTCCTTTTGTCAATGTCTGCTGTTTATACATGATGATGTCATACTAAAAACAGTTGCTTGTATCATTTCATCAGGCATTTTTAAATCTGTAAAATTTTTTTAACCAATGTAGATATGAAGCTGAAACTTTAATTTGTGAAACTAGCTATATAGCTTAACAGCAATAATTGGTAATACATACTTCTGGAAAATCTGCACCCTTCATGCTGAACAAAGTGGTGACCAGCCATTTTGATACCAGAATGGCTGGATAACTTTTTTCGAATTTCTCAGAATATGCCATGGCTGGCAATTATTTAGGAAAGGAAATTCTTGAATATACACTTAGTACCCCAGACACCACAGGCAACCAGCCATTCTGATGGGCTATGAAAGTCATCCGTGCGCGCCTCCTCCGCGAATATCCCAGACGCACTACAGTAACTCAACAACCCCATCAGCAACCTGAATGCATTGCATAGTACCGCTGATCAGGCTGCAAGTGTAGGAAATTTGACAATAAGTCTTTTATCCATCATTTGTTCATTCATTGGTCCAGACAATCTATATGCACTTGTAACTGTAGGAGGTAGTGACATAAAATTATACTGACACCATAATGTACATAAATGTGGCTATTGGGTGGCCTTGGAATGTCTATATTACACAGGTTCAACACCAATAAAGAAAAAAAATTAAATGTATGTTTTATTTTAATTTATTTATCCTACAGGTGGGAATGTTTGCCCAAATAGGACCCCTAAGTTGTTTCATTTCACATCATGTAAGTATTTATTTTCTTAGTCACACATTTATAAGCAAGCTAGCTATGGCCAGTTTTATTTTGATTATTAATTTAGTTTTAAATATATTAATTTATTGCAGTCTATTCCAGCTGATATGGAGTTCTGTCCAAATGTGAATCCACCCTGTTATAAGAGTAAGCAGGAAGACAATGTCATACAGGAAGAAGATGTCATCAGATTGAAAATAGTTGGCACAAGAGTGGATGCTAATGGCATCGTAAGTATCTTTTGTTATCTCAAGTTTTTTTCAATGCAATTTTTTTTGTTGTAGGCAAGCATAAGTATTTTTGAAAGTAGGTAGTTGAAAATTTTAATAAGATTAACAGTAGGGCTAGCACGATAAGGCGCGACGATCACAGAGCTCAACAAAAAATTTCAATTTTATTTTGAAAAACTACCAGCAGTAAATAGGCAATATATAATTTTGGTAGGACTACATCTGGAATTACCCAGATGACTAAGACATATGTATATGCAAAGACTACAATGAGTAGAGGGTTCCAGTTGGCTGATTTCCTCCTGTGAAAATAATTTCCTACAAATAAGAGTTATGTGCCAGGCAACCACACCATTTACCAGGTAAATGGTGTGGTTGCCTGGCAAACTCTCAAACTAAGGAATTCCCTGTATTTGACCTTCTGCAACAAAAGGTAACCTATCACAAACTCGAAACTTTTTTGTCCGAAATAACGTTTTTCGAATTTTCATTACACCGAAAACCGAATTATAACGAAACAGTTGTTCTTTCGGGATATGTTGAATGTTTATCGCAAAGACACGTTTGGGTTCGGTTAAATTAGGTTTAAAAGAAAAAACATTTTCCTCTCATAATTGCTTTCGAGATTATGAAATTTCGACCAAACGTTATTTCTGGAAAATGTCATTTTGGACTACTGATAGGTATTCTGGGGCACTTCCCAGAACGCCCAGACTGAAACTCAATTTGGAAAAGTTCATTTCCCAAATTGGACGTAGTTATAATAAAAAGATCCAAGTCACACTTTGGGCGAAAATGAGTTAAGTACACCACGTGATTCACCGTAGCATATTCTTTCATGCCAGAAAGACTCGTGTCGATATCTCTAATATTGGCGAAATTATAAGTATGTAGCGTTTTGAAAAAAATGCAATTTGCCCAGAAATATTTTTAATATACGATCCAGGTTTCCTGGACTCTCATTCAACAACACATGACATGATCCACTTGAGTATGAATCGTTCTTAAAGAATACTAAACTATGAAATATGATGGCCAATAAGATTCAAATAAACTTGAATTATTTTGTTTTTATTGTTTCTTTTTTACCAAAGTAACTTGTATAGTGTTGGCTTTTTAAAATCTTGAAACAATAGGATCGTTTTGATTATTTTTTTTATAGGGACAGAATGTTCCAGTTACGTTTAACACAATTACTTTGAAGGTCGAACTACTTAAAAAATGTAGGATTTCAAAATAGCCTTTCAAATTTTAAAGTCACCTTCCAAATTTTCATAGAACGGCCGACATCTTTTGATGTTAAATTTAACATAGACCAGCCCCCGTTCATGCCTCCGCGATAAAGCTATTATATACCCACATTTAGCTGTCTATTCGAGGAATAAACCGCCACTTTGAAATTTTATCACAATAACGAACGTGTCAAGCAATGTGACGTCACATTTTTGTCGCACCGCGTGCACATGTTTTCTTTACTCACGTGCCGCGACCTATGGCCGCGAAAGTATATCGCAATGCCAAACATGGCCATGGCAAGATCACATCTGAGTTTAAAACATTTTGACAGCTCTGCACGGTAATTTTATCAAAGTAAGATTTGAGCGCCACAAACGAAATAAATAAAAATAGGTTGTTACATATTAACTGTTGGAAAAAGGTGAGGAGAAATCGACTGCGATAAATATCAAATATCATCAGTCGTGTTCAATGTGTGATCGGAAACGGACGCGCTGCACTACTTTGCGAGAATTATTTTAATTCGCGATTTTGCGCGGCTTAGGCTGCTGCATGTACGTAAGTGACAATGGGTTCCCAACAACTCATTGTCAATGAGTTTCTGGCATTCGTGCAAAATGCCATCGACACAATGGATGAAGTCAGCATCGAGCAGATCTGCAAATCTAATTTCAACGAAGATGAGATTTGCAGTGGCAAGGTGCTGCTGTTCCAGAGCTGCGGCAAAGAGCAGCAGATGCCATCTCGTCGGAGGGATGGAGGCTTGAAGAGTGTCCAGGATGTTACTGCATTCTTGAAGAATACCGATCCGGACGACGTGCCTACTTTCGTGGCGAAGGATCTGCACAAGTTGCCTCCGGTCACCTTTGACCACGTCGACGTCACCAGGCTCTTAAAGGACATCACGTCCTTGAAGTCGAGTTTGGCTGAAGTTCAGTCAAAATTGGAGGCGTCGGATAACTCCATAAGTGAGCTACGTGCCGAAGTTGCGTTGTTACGCAACCCCGCTTCGGTATGTAGGTCACCGACAGTCTCCTACGTCAACACGCGTCGCGGGGCGCGAAAAGCATCCGTCGGCAGTATTGAGTCGGCTCGTATGTCGCCGGTCATTGCTGTTGTCAATGCACCGTGCCCCCCTGCCCGCCCCTCCGCCTCGGAGGTTACGTCACCCGTATGCACGTCATCGCCCGGGCGTGCATACGCCGCTGTTGCCGCGACTATTAGCAGCGGAACCGCGACTTCAAAACCCGAGTTGCGGAAAACTGCAAAGGGCGGTAGTAAACCCCGAATGCCTGTCTCTGGAATCGCAGGTGCCAAATCTCAGAGGCAGACCGACAGGTGCGACGAGGACGGCTTCACAAAAGTGGAGAAGAGAAGAAAGAAACCCACCAGCCGAAATCTATGTGGCACAGCTCCAACGGGACAGAACTTCTTGCTTCGTGCGGCCATACCGACGACGCAGTTGTACCTGTCTCGACTGCATTACTCCACGAAGTCTGAGGATATAGTGGAGTATATCCGGTTGAAAGCCCAATTCACCCTGAGGGTCGAACGTTTGGAGTCTCGCCACAACGTTAACTTTAATTCGTTTGTGGTGAGGGTCCCAACGGTCCATCTGTCGACCTTCATGCAGGTAGAGTTTTGGCCGAAGGGTGTCATGTTCCGGCGGTTCAGAGGAACGATACATGACACTTGTTTGCGTCGCACGTTGCCGAATAGTAATTCGTGTAAATAGTTAATAAGTTTATATTATTTTATATGTATGTTAGTCTGTAAGGTATGTATCAATAATAATAATATGTATGTTAGTATGTAAGGTATTTGTTATATGGGCCTTAGTTGCCTGAAATAAATGAATAAATAAAAAAAAATAAAAAAATATGTCAAGGGGAGGTTTATCATTATCGCTTGCGATATACCGCCATGCTACGCATGATGTCATTGAGCTTAGCCTCAGTTATCACCTGGCCATAGTGGCGTTAAACTATCCTTAAACTATTGTTATGTTAATATGTTATGTTGATTTATTTGCTAACAAATTTTGAGGAAAATTATTAGGTACTTAGCATACAGAAAACGATGAGAGGTAAGCGAGAGAGAGCGGTCGACGCCACTATGGCCAGGCGATATTTGAGGCTAACCTCAATGTCATCTTGGGAACCGTGCGGTATATCGTATGCGATAAGGATAAACCTCCCCGCGACATATTTATCGCAGTCAATTTCTCCTCGCCTTTTTCCAATATTCACATGGCTTCTAATGACACAAGTTATTGTATGTATGAGTAACAAGTGAGGCAGGTAGAGAAGCACAGGAAGTTGGCTCGTGTCTATTATGGCATATTAATAACGAATTGGCGGTGGGCGTCAAAGACCTTATACTATTCAGTGATTCACGAGGAGGTCAAAATATGAACATTAACAAATTGATGTTGATGCTAAAATTGGCTCTGGACACCGACCTTAAAAACGATTCACTGTCGCTATTTGGAACCTGGGCATAATTTTTTGCCCAATAATACAAATTTTTGAAAAATTGAAGTAGCCTTGAAACACGTCTGACGTCTTTACACAATCGAAGAATTATGGATATTATGAAGACCTGTGCAAAAGTAAACCCATTAAAAGTGTAGGAAGATAAGGATTCTGGTTGATGTGGCTGAAATTGTATTAAAAATTTAACAATATCTTATCATTAAAACCCAAATTAATAAAGCATAGAACAAGATGTTAAAGTAGTGTCGAAAAAACATTACTTGCGGCGGTGAATGTCGGAAAATCGTGTGCCGTATTCCAGCATGACAATGGTCGAGTTGTTGAAATTTAACGTCGTTATTTAATCGATTCTAGTAGCAAAAAACTAGATTTAGTCGGTCCGTCGTTCATAAGTTATAAGGGTTTTACTGTTTTAAGTTTTACTGTCCACACTGGGATAAGCTTATTTCAGCGGCACCATTTCTCAATCTCCAGAACCACAACACCTAGCTTAGATCTGATTACACTAAAAAAAATTGTGATTTAGTCGGTTCTAGTCGTAAAAAACTAGATTTAGTCGTTACACCGTTTTAAAGTTATTACGGTGTTTTACTGTCCACCCTGTAATAAGCTTATTACGGCGGCACCATTTTTGAATTTCGAAAACCACAGCTCCTATCTTAGATCTGATCGCACCCAGAAAAAGTCGTGTATTAGTCGGTTCTAGTCGCAAAATTTTAAAATTAGTCGCTCTTTTGTTTATAAGATATTGGATATTCAATTATTTCCGTTGATAGGTACATTTACGTAGAAAATCGTCCACATAATGAAGAATGTGTATTTAAGGAAGAACACCGTTCCAGCAGATGTTCGTTGTGAGATCACTCAAAATATCGTATTCGTGGTGATTAAAATAATTTTCATCATTTTAAACGTTTTTTACGTAGTTGTGGACCGAGGCGTTAATTCATGCATTATTATTATTTTATTTATATGTTGAGCATTGGCTATAGAGCCATCAACTTAAAAAGGTAACAAATAATTAAGAAACTCAAAATGTAACATACGTAACTAAAAATTAAATAATGTTAACATTGTTACTTTAAAAAAGTTATTCATTCATTCTGTCGACGCGTTTTTATTGCACGCGTCTTGATATTTATGCTATTAATGAAAAAGAAATGCAATAGATATATTCCTATATAATTTCTTTGTTACACTAAACGACAAATTCTTTGATCGCAAACTCCACTTTGTATCAAACGAAATAATACAAATTACCATTCTTATTTATTTTACTTTTATAGGTTATATTTTTTTATGTAATGTTTTGTATACTTCTGCAATTTTAATCCTGAGCCATTTTGAAATATGGGGTAAAGTCAATGATCAACGTTTATTTTTACGAATGGAAAATATTATCTATGGTTTTAAAATTTTGACTTTTAACTCCTTTTCTTTTGCTCGTTTGAACTTTGTGTATTTTTTAAGTTTTGTGAAAAGTGAAGACAAACATGTCGATAGGCCCGAAATAAAAAAAGTATATTTCGACTCCTAAAGATAACGAAATCTGTCAATTTATAGTGCAAATTGCTCAGAGCGAAGTGGATAAAACCATTTTATATAAAAAAGAGCCCATTTACTGCTCAAGCTTTTCGACAAAGAGATCAATTCAGATGCTTGCAATTTAGTAGATTGCGTAACAAGTACAGCAGATGTAATTAATATCTTATATCCTTACAGCACAATGCGGCGAAAAATATGTACATGCAATGCCTCTGACAAGAATAACTTTACTAAATGTCTGTATATGCCTATCAATATCGAAATTATAGAAAAAGAGGGGATAGTGGCATTAAACAAGTCTATAAAATATCAATAAATAAAGACAAAGGACCTGTTCTGGTTGTGGTGCTACTGTGAAATTTGATTATTACCCAACGACTAACTTATTTATTGAGACATCTGGCGTTGCTAGCATCAACATTAATGATGTACCGTGCTGCATCAAAATAGGCAAACAAAAATATACTGTCTTGGCTATTAGTTAGTATGTACCAGGCGGCATTGGACATTTCAGAAGTTGGTGCTTATAGGATAGCTACAAAAAATTGGCAGTGTTACGACGATTTACAGGACTTAACCACATTGCCTTCCAACCAGATATTGCCTCAAAATATAATCTATACAACTTAGTTTGTATTTAAAACAACTCAATTTTCTTTCTAAAAATGAAAAAAGCCAATTACATAAAACACTAATTTTAAGCTATAACAATTTTTATATTTGATTTTTTTTTGGAAACAGTAAAAAAATAAAAAACTACTATTACCTACTTTATGTGAAACACTAAATATCTGTGTGCACGTGTTATGTACTTGCTGTACATAATTATTATTCTAAGTCTGATTATTCTGTGATTTTTTAGTTTAAGAAATAATATAGATCTGTACTGCTAAATCTGTGATTTTTAGATATTTAAATATTTTTCTTCGTTGTAATAAGTCATCCATTCATTCAATGAATTCTTATCAATAGTCGTACGCGACTGTACTCCGTGCGTCTCGTTCGTTTCGTGTAAGCCAGGAGCTCAACACGACATACATACACTAATAAATATCATGTCAATCGATAAATCCTAAGACCATTAAGGAAAAGTAACTATACGTTTTTTGCTAATTTTGCTTGTATTGAAAACTAAACATTATTAAAACCTTCAAATACCACGTATTTAAAAAAAAACACAAAAGCTGTATATTATGCAAAATATGTACATGAGCTCCGAGACTAATACAGGTATAACCTCAAAATAATAAATCGGTTGTATCTTTTTAACAAAGGAGCGACCAATTCTAAAATTTTGCGACTAGAACAGACTAATTCATGACTTTTTCTGGGTGCAATCAGATCTAAGATAGGAGCTGTGGTTCTCGAGATTCAAAAATGGTGCCGCCGTAATAAGCTTATTACAGAGTGGACAGTAAAACACCTTAATACCTTCAAAACGGCGTAACAACTAAATCCAGTTTTTTTACGACTAAATCACGACTTTTTTTTAGTGTAATCAGATCTAAAAGCTAGGTGTTGTGAAAAAAAAAAAAGTGTTGTGGTTCTCGAGATTGAGAAATGGTGCCGCTGAAATAAGCTTATCCCAGCGTGGGCAGTAAAACATCCTTATAACTTTTGAACGACGGACCGCCTAAATCTAGTTTTTTGCGACTAGAACCGACTAAATAAGCGACTTTTTTTTCTGGCTAGTCAAATTTCAAACACTCGACCATGGTCACGCTGGAATAAGGCACACTGGAAAATCTTTTGAGACTTTAGGATAAATAAATAAGTCAAGTTTTTTTTAACAAAATAATTCTTGAAGGAACTAGTCTTCTAATAAAAATATTTTAATGCATCCGAATAATGTCAAAAAATTGCATGTTTTTGCGAAAAACCTGAGTTAAATATGTAATTTTTATTACTGTAGAAAATGATAAAGTTATGTAGGAATGTAGTGTTTAGAGATTTCTTAAAATTCATAAAAATGCTATTAAATTCATTTAATTAAAATAAAACGAATAATATACACTTTATGCACATTTTGGATCATTTTTGCAAAATAAAAAATAATCGCAAAAGTTTTCTTGCCATACAAAATCGAAAATATTCAAATCGTATTTTTTTTAAACTGCCATAAGTCATTAATTTACGAAATGTTTGGCAATTGATGTGAAACTATATAGTGAAAACTTTAATTTGCCGAAAAAAAATGAAGATCGGTTGAGAATTCCAGCAGCAGTTAAAATTTTAAACTAACTTCCATTTTCTTGAAACTTACCAATTGTGACTTGGATCTTTTTATTAGAACTAAGTCCAATTGGTCCTACTGGGGAATCTGCCATTCACTGAAAAAAGGAATCAAACCTGGGGCCTTCGCACCGTTAAAATAAAATCGAGTGCCGATTATTGGCGCGCCCACATTGTAAACCGTTAGGCCGCTTAGGTAATTTCTAGGTGGTTATAATACAATTTCTAGGTGGACAATTTCTAGGTGGTTATAATACAATTTCTAGGTACCACGAAGGTTGTTATTTTGCATCGAGTATAAAATAACCCTTATCAGAATATATTTACAGACAGACATTCGTTTTTTTACAGTTTGCCATTGGGACGCTGATGGATGATTACCTAGGATTAGTTACACAATAAGATTATGTAATAAATGAATTTAAACAACTCCTCTGGTATTATCATTTATTTGGCAATCAAATAATAGGTTAAATTCCATATGTACACATTGTAACAAAACAATCCAAAAAAGGATAATATATTTGGACATCTCAGTCTATTTGGGCAGTACAGTTTCACAGAACAGGTAAATGAGGATTCGTTAATTCTAATACAGTCACCTTATATCTATTACACCCTTTAATATTGTATAAAAACAGTGCAGAACAATTTTATTATGGTGAAACAGTTTAATTGAAAATCATTTAGTGCATTTATTATGAGGCTGGAGGCCAAAAGTTGAAAGAATGCCACTTATCGTAAATTCGCGTATACAGAGAAATAATTGGGAAAATGAATGTTAATACTGTAGTTATTTCTAGATGTTCATAATTGTAGTTGAAATACCACTACAAACGGTGTAGTGATAATGCATACGATGAAACACGGTTTAGTGGTTTGCATAGTAATGGCAACATTTTCTACACTATATAATTACACATTAAAGCAAACAATTGAATCAAGTGCCTAGATAACCAAGTAATATATTTTCTTTATACACCACTAGCAATTATACTTCTTGAAATATTTGTTCACAAACGCAAAATAAGTTTCAATTCGGTGTGCGTGAGTATTTGCTCAAAGCAGCGCACTGTTGTGTACGCTTTTGAAGTGAAACGTTTCTTCAAAATTAGTTATCTCCAGATCTAAGGCAAGATCGGAAGACAGTTCATTGGTAAATCAAAAAAGAAAAATTCTGACTCCATTGTGATGCTTGAAGATTGAAATAACAAGAGATTTTACAGTTCTGTGTACGCACTAAAGTTTGTAACATATTTGGGTGTGGGAATGATGATTACAAGAAGGCGTTCTATGTGGTTTTTTTAAGTAAGGCTGCAACCTTAACATCCGCTTTTACCCTTTAATTGTAAAACGATTCTAATTTTGGCTCCTATTTAATTATTACGAAAATTCCAAGTCAATGAGTACATTTATTATTATATGAAAGTTTATGTACAATCTTCAAAAAAATTTAAAAATTATATCTAAATTAAAATAATATCCAAAGGGACAATTTGAGTCTTTGGTTTTATCCAATATACAAAATCTTGTTACATAGAATAAATAAATCTTAATCAAATATTGCTCACCCTTAAAACAAAATATGGCATCTAAATAAATAATACTCAATATGAGATCAAAAACCAAATCTAAGCAACCAATTGTCTAAGCACCGGGTAGGCCACAAATTAAAATTGCCAACGTCAGGGTTCCGCGTGTCGATACACGCGTAAATAGCCAATGTCAAAATACAATTACGCATCTACTAAATGCTAATAATATATTATTTGTAATAAATATGGTGTAATATCCAAGCTAAGTCAATGCTTACCTATCAATCGCCTAATATCAAATATACTTTAACCATAAAATATTGAGACATAACATTGTGCAATATAGTGTGAATATGCATGATACATAATATCCTATATGAAACAATGATAAATAATTTTGCAGTCATAATAAGTTTGCACAAATCGCTCACTGAACAATAAATACGCCAGGAATACCTTTATGTTGCCACTAAATAGAGCCGCAAAACAAAGTTATTCCAGCCTTTACAAGGCACAAATCAAGGTAAAGGATTATTTCTTCAGCAGTAATTACAATATTCATAAATATTAAAGACATAATTCAATTTTACTACATACTTTACTAATTTTCTTGGATATAGGGTTTGGGGCAATGTAACCTTATAAATTACAATGATAAATGAAATGCCAAGTCATTACAAGAATTGTCTATGAGCTTTCTAAGGTTTTGCATTTTTGTATCGATATTTTTTAAGGAGTCACGGGCAACACGGCCATATCCATTATTTATATTTTTTGTATACTACTGTAGTATATAATATTAGTACTGACAAGATAGATGTTGTTCGTGCGACACTACTCATATCGATGCATTTATACATATTTTGACCACACACTAGAAGGAAGATATTCATATAGGAATTATTAATAAGTCTATCTAAATTTTAACGCTATTTAACAGCAAAGTTCAGCAATTTTAACAGTAATAATACTGACATACATTTAACAAATTTGAGTGGAATATAATATAACGTAGTGTATAAAAGTTGAGCTATGTATGGTTAACAATTTATTATGAAGGTTTTGCTTCCCCGTCGTCTGGCTGCTGAAATCGTCTTTCCTTGCACTCCTAACTGAACACTGACCACGCCGAGCCCAATAGCGGAGTAAAAACCGGGACGACATCTTTATTTCCATTTAATTTGATAGTCCCACGATGACAAATGTTTATTTATCAAAGATAAAATGTTTAGCGCCATCAGTCCTACGCATAATCATAGAAATTATTTCGATGTCATTTTGGTCTCCGTTCCGCTATTCGGTCGCACTTTTGAGCTTTGAAGTAAATGCAGACATTCTCTGATATGTTTTCACTAATAAACTTTGTTAAAAATAATTCCAATTATAGTTTCGCCAATTTACAACCCGTACGAATTTTATACATAAAAATTTTGTTACTGTAAGTACACTACACCATATCAACATTTACTTCCCACAAAGACGCACACACTGCCGTTCGAAACGCGACACTCGACGTTTTAACGGATCGCTGACGTTACTTACCATTCACTAACATATCTTCCGAGCACGCCGAGCAGCGGTCGCGTACCGGCGACAACGGAAGACTTAAATGAGCAAAGCGATCGACGCGAGCCCCCACTGTACCTCAGACGAAGTAACCGCTAGTGGCGTCGGGTCAGTGCCGCGTTTCAACCGCATAGGAACCGTTCCGTGCCCGCTGCAACGCGAGCTCACTGCCGGACGTGGAAGCACTGGCACTAGGCGGCGGGCTGCGCCGCGTGTCACGAGGCGGCCGCGGCCGAGCGCGCCGCGCCGCACGGGTCCGCCACCGGCGCCACCGCCGGCGACACCGGCCCGCGCACCGCCTCGATGTAGTCCTTGATCAGCGTCGCGATCTGGTAAGCCTGGTGAGCAGTACCATCTTTTAAACACAGCTGTATCACAGTGGTGTCTTTCATACCGCCCGCCTGCCTGCCTCTGTGGCCGAACGGTTACCATGCTGGACTGCCACGCCGAGCTCCCGGGTTCGATTCCCGGCCCGGGAGAAATATATGTAAGTTTTGTGGTTGTCTAGGTGTGTCCATGGCACCCGCGATACAGGGTTTTCCTGGTGCGGGGTTACGAGTATGTGCTTTATTATTATTATTCCACCTAATTTCAGAGACTTTGAAACTGACTCGGCGTCCGGTAACAAAGCGCTGCACTGTACCTGGTCCGTGGAGAGCACGAGCTTGGCGTGCTTCCGCTCGGCACGCATGACGAGCAGCAGGGCGCGCGGCGCGGGCGACACGGCCAGCAGCTGGTCGTGGTCGTGCGACACCAGCGCCGCGCGCGACCCGCGCCGCAGCAGCGTCAGCCCGCGCGCGTCCACCGCCAGCCACAGCGCGCGCGGCCAGTTCGACGTGAACGATTGCTGGAAAAGGTCATCCGAGCGTCAGCGGGGCGACCCCCGCTGGCTGGTTCCGGGCGAGGCGGGCGCGCGGGTCGACTCACGGTGACGTCGAAGATGGTGGCCCTCGCGAGCGGCCACGAGTTGGCGAGCGTGAGCGCGCGCTGCATGGCGCCGAGCGGCGGCGTGCCGCGCAGCGACATGTGGTGCAGGCGCACGGCGGGCGCGGGCAGCGCGGGCGCCGCCAGCCGGGGCGGGACCACGCCGCCCGCCAGCATCGCGCACTCCTCGCCGCCGCCCAGGCAGTCGCCGCTCACCACCTGCGCGTGCAGCGCCGCCAGCATCACCTGCGCCGAAACTCAACTCGATCAGCGCCGCCCGTAACCTGCGCGTGCCACTAAGGGTCTTACGTAACAATAAGAGTAACGCTCAGTTCATATAAATTTTCTTTAAGAAGGTATAAATAAAGTAGGGAAAAGGCGAAGGAAAAGAAAGAATGGCTGTAATAGAAAACAATGGTCTAAAACCATAGATATCAAACAAATCTTTCGATTTTCCTGCAGCTTCAATCTAACATTCTTTTATTTCGAACTCATTGGAAAAACTTAAAAATTAAAAATACTCTACGTTTGACCTACGAGTATAATGGAATTTAAATATCCAAAACAATAATACATATACATTTTTCTTCAAGCTACAGCAACATACAAATTGACATGAAATTGAAACGGTTGTCCGAAATATGAGTTGTGTTAAAGTTACTCGAAATAAAATGTTTAGTAATAATAATAATAATAAAATAAAAAATTAATTTAACGTGAATGCTTTTCGCTTCGATATTTTAGGGACTTTAATTACAAAAATCATATAAGAAATTCAAACATTTCAGTAAAAATTTATTGTCGATAAACGTCAGTCATCGTAAATGAACATCACTATATTTGAGTCTAGAAATTTCTATGGAGACAAAAAGAAAACATTGAATAATAATAGAAATAGTAACTAAGAATGTGAATAGCCGGTGGAATGATATCTCACTGGTTTTAAAATTTTAGTTTACAAGGTGTATCGCTACAACTTGGCATTTTCACGTTTTACGAGAGATCTTGTATGTACAACGATCACCATGTCACTGTGACGATGTTTGTAGGCGTGTCACCTCGATATGATCAATTTGATCATATCGAGGCGACACGAACCACGCCCCCATGCCAAATCTCCCCTTTTTTTCTATATCTATGTATGAAACGCAGGTACAATACTATAGAACACTCCGTAACTTAAATTGCATATGGACATGCTTATCGCCTACCCCAAAAGGGCCTACTGTATTAGTGTATATATTGCTGCTTTATAAGCAGTTAGGTTTACACGATTAAATAATTTTTATGGGAGTGACGACGAAAAACAATTAGAGAACGAAAGAATCAGGAACCAGAGGAAAGGGTGATAAAAATGAGGGATGAAAAAGGTCGCATTGTCACAGGCTGCAGCGTAATTTCAACGCGACGTTTAAATAGACCTATTTCCAGTTGACATTAGTGAGAATAGCGACATCTAGCTTATACTTCCTACTCATTGGAAATTAAACTTTTTCCTTTGCGGATCTAAATAGTGTATATTTATTTTTCAAATAAAGTACAGGTCCCGTTGACTCGTTCGTGGGTAAGTGCGAAGAGTCAGGCTTTACTGAAAATACTCACGGCCTCATCCATCTCGATGGGCAGGCGATCGTGGCGCACGGCGTGTAACAATTGATAGTACAATAACTCCATCTCCGCAGCGCAACTCGAATGCAGCGGTCGTTCGCCCAAAAATAGACGCTTCTTGAACACCAGTCTGCGCGCAATAAAATATAATAACACAATTACAAAATAAAAACCGATTGACTTCTTTCCTACAAGATAAATAATATTTATTTTTTAATAAAAATATAAGCGCGTTTTTGACATCCATCTCACCTGATGGAAAGTGACAAGGTCGACGATGTAGCATGCATATATTGAAAATAATTTAGTTTATTAAGGGGAAGATTAAAGAATAAATGGCGGAAAAAGACCTTTCAGTAATAGACAGTGGAGGCAATATGATACCTGCAAGCAGCAGCCGTCGCTCCGGCTTTCTCCCATCTCGCGAGAACATCCCCTACGCGTTCGTTGCCGCCCAGGACGCGTTCGCCCGCGCCCGCTGGCGCAGGAGTCGCGCACACTTCGTACAGAGCGTATCCTGTGGCGATAAGAACCATTACACACCAAGTTTTTAGAACTAATTTCGTCTTTCCAATTTCATTTCCGACGAGTTATTAGTGTGTGAAACGGACGAGTATGACGTTAAGACGTATCAATGAAGTATTATATAGAGTATCAACAAAAGTATATGTACCGGTGGCAGTATCGGCGAGCCCGATCTTGTCACGCAGCATCTGCACTAGATGATCCGCGGTGGCGGCGGGTCCAAAGACGAGCCCATGCTGCTTGCCGTCGAGCAGCAGCACGCGCGCGTGCAGGCCGCGTCGCGCCGCGGCGCATAGCACCTCCTCGCGGGACGGAGCCGCCACGCGCCGAGGCACCTGCGCGATGCTCAGCGCCACCTACACACGATAAACATTATCAAAATATATGATGGATCTTAATTTACAAACTCTGTGGAAACTTTGATAGTGTTCGGTTCAAACTTTCAAATGAACTCTAGTGTTCGGTTCAAACTTTCAAATGAACTCGGTTCAAACTTCTAAATGAACTCTGTTCAAACT